GGCACTTTCACATGAATGCCACACACACCTTCCCAAAAGCAACATGTCCCACCACAGGTTGTCACTTATTCCATGTTTCTAAAATGGAGGGGGGGGAAGAGAGGGGAGCAATCTAGTTAGAGACATTACCTAACACACATTGATGGGAAGATAGCCGTTAACTTCATTGGACTTTGGATCCGATTCAACAACAAAAACACCTCAGAGGCCATCCAGCTAGTAGCTATTGACACTCCTTACACACAACCGTGGTTTGCTCAGAATACAGGCAGGGAGGTTACTTTACCAGCCCTTTTGCCATCAGCACATGCAAACGCCAATGCTCAGGAAAACAAACAAACAAAACCCAAGAGAAGCTATATCTTCCTTTTTCTCTACATTCAGCTGTCTTGAGCCTGTTTCTAAAGGTCGGATCACTTCTTAGTCACCAAAGAGAGAAGTTCTTGTAGTGCTGTAAATTAACGAGTAACTCTGAAAATCTATCATTTAGGGTTCAGCTCCTGACACCCCCAGTGCCACAACTCATCCCTCAGGGCAGTAATTCCCCCACTTTTCATTTGAGGAGGTTGGCAAAGTATCTTCAGGTGTGCCACAATGACATCTTCCCACTTCCAGCTGGACTTTGTGCTCCCAGCGCTGGTTACACTTCCTCCACATGATTGCCCAGGGCAGAAAGTGCACCTCCAGCCCTTTGGCTTGCACCTCAATTTGTCAAATTGTGTGCAGTGTGATAGCGAGGACGTCTGAAACTCAGTTATGGCTGCAGGAAATTTCAGCCCTGTGTCACTTAAATTAATTACAGCTGATCTGGAACAGTTGTTCTTTGCTGAGAAAATTGTACTCTTAAGTCTTCCTGCACAACAGATGATAAAAGGCCGTGCTGTAAAAGCAAAAAACTTCTTAGAAGACTCAGAGTGCTGGGTAATCATATTGGGCTTAACTCCTGCCTGCCAGCCACAGCAAACCCCACCTCCCCAAAGAAATGTGACCGGAGAACAGCCATCCCCAGCTGGCGGGGCCTCCCCAACCTGCCCGGAGCCTCTGACAGCACTGCCAGAGCAAGACAAGTGCTCAGCAGTGCCGCCCCAGCCCCAGGATGTTCAGGACATGAACATGATCCGAGTGACGAGCGCGGACATCTTTCTCAGAACCAGGCTTTGGTTAAAACTTGCTGGGAAGAACAAGGTAAAAGTGGGCCTACATCTTAGGCAAGCATCATTTTAATGCCATCACTCATTTGAACTTCCCTTTTGACAGTACAACTTTGCCACCCTCTGCTAAAATTCTGCATTTACTTTCATTTGTGTTATCAGTCCTACGTGTATTTCAGTTCAGCATGAAACAAATTGACTGTCAAAAATCTACTGAATTATTCACATTCCCACTAAACCGTATTCTACCCAATATCAACTGTAATGCACTGTATTACAGCATAGAATCAAGGGCAAATTTTGTTTGAAATACTGTTTTCAGAGTCATTCTCCCCACTGAATGGCTGTAGTTGCAAACAGTTCTTGGCCGACATAAATTGTGTGGGCTAAGATAAATGTGATTGATAGGGAAGAGCTGGTGTCTCTGCCCACCAAACCCCACGGCCCCACAGGTGTGGCTCTACCTGAGCCCTGACAGTGCTGCTAGGCACACACAGCTGGGGCACAGAGAGCTGAACTTGATCTTGCTCAGCACTGCCAGCATCCTAACCCTGTCAGCAAATGATTACTGCAGTCTTTTGAGTCTTCAGTAGGGACCAGCTGTGTCAACCCACCCAGCAAGCAGGGTCTGCAGAGCTACCCCGAACTGGATACACCACCCACAGCACCAAATAGCACAAAGACATTACTGGATGAAACTGCTCTGAACCATGATGAAAGACATTAGAAATTTTAAAAAATTAAAAATAAATCACACAACAAAACCAAGAAAGGAAAAAACCTCTGAGTTTTAAAAACAATAGTGCTATTTGGACAGTAACCAGCACTTACATAATACCAGTTTACCAAATAAACTCTCTGGTAGTTAATAAGAAAAAGGAAGCATCATATTGCCCCACACTTCTCAGAAACAACAAGGCAACATAAAGGATGTGACTGAAAGATACTCACCACTTCAGCCCAAGGAGCACCCAGCAAACAGCACACACTTACTCCCTCCCTCCAGGTAAATGGCAGCAGGAGGGACTCCCCCAGCTGTGACAGATTGAAGGGCTGGCAGCAAGCAGCATGCTGGGAGGGAGCAGCCTTTAAAAGAGCAACCCATGTAATCTAGAAATTATAGTGTTTTATTTGAAAATACCATTTCTAATCCTACTTTGTGCTGGGCATCCCTGCAAGTTACATTTGTGCATGTATATGAATGAATTATTGTGTATATATATGTGTGTGTATACATGGCAAGAGGGATTTCACTTTCTTGCAATGACTACATCTTACTACAGAAATAATAATACTTCAAATATATTAAAATACTAACCAGATCCGCCGCTGCTTCTATAAGCATTTTTTTCCTTTTTCCAGAGTGAGAAACCAAAATATCTCACACATCATATTTGCAAGGGTACCTTCAGCCTCAGCTGAGGCAGACAACCAGCCCGGGGGAACCCCACCCGAGTGACTGCAGGCTACTGCAGCACTAAACTGCCCTTGCCCAGGTCATGGAGCCGACCCAAATGGTGACAGGAAACCCCCTAATAACCAGCAGGGAGCCGGTAGCAGCCCCAAGAGTGCGGCTGGCCCGCAGCTGGGAGCTCTGATGAAATCTTTCCATGTAGGGACTGCTGTCTGCTGCAGAGATGCTTCACTCTGACATACAGAGCTAAATCAAAGCGTGCCCACTGGGCATAATCCTCACTCTTCTGTATGTCCCTAAACTGCGCTGCTTAAAAATGTTTCATTTAATATCCAGATTGCACCAGGATATTCGGAAAAGGTATGAGGAGAGGCACAAGTGGGTAACTATTAGGTGTGAGCGGGATGAGGGCGCTCAGTCTGATGCCTCGGGAGCCATCCTGAAGCACTGCACAGCCGTGCACGCGTTACCTCCCTCCTCCAGCACATTCCCAGCGCTGCTTTCTTGTGCTTTTTCTTGTCTTTTCAGGTTTCTGCTGCTGTGGAGCGCGGTGCTTATCATGTACCCGACCAGTCTGGCTGTCATTGCGCTGACATTCTCAAACTATGTCCTGCAGCCCGTCTTCCCTAACTGTATCCCCCCCTATAATGCCTCCAGGATCCTCTCCATGGTGTGTTTACGTGAGTATTTGCTTCTCGCGCACACATAAAGCTTGCCTCGGTTTTCCATGGGACCATTCGAGGGGTCGTTCCAGCCAGGCTAGGGTCATGGCCACAACCCGAAAGGCAAGCAGAAGGTCCCAGGACAGGCCCTGTGACAGCTGCAGGGTATCCAGTCCCTTCCCGCTTGCCCACAGCAGTCACAGTGCCTGAATCCCCGCGGGTCCTGGGGAGAGGTGCAGCAAGTGAGCTTTGGGATGGGGCGGTGCTGTGCTCCTTGCAGAGCCATGGGCACCTGGCACAGGTGATCCACCAGCACGGGTTACCCACTGACACAGGTTACCCACCACCATCTGAGCCCTCCCTAGTCTTCTTTTACATTCAGAAATGCAAGCGTGTAGGGAGCGCAGCATGCCGACAGCTCTGCATTAATTACTTACAGAGCCAGCAAAGGCAAACCAGAGCTACAGGGCCTGAAGTCAGTCACCATCTCTGTGAGGAGGCAGCGATCCCTGGCACATCGAGCACTTCAGGCACAGTTCCTAGAGCTCAGGGGAGCCCTGACCAGCAGCGCCCGAGGGGGAAGGCTGCTGGCTGCCAGGGATGTCCCCGCAGCCAGGAGTCTCCTCGGGACAGGCAGCACTCCTCCTCACCCTCACTCCCAGCCACACTGGAGCTCCCTACAGGAATGTGTGTCAGTCTGTTTTCCAATGCTTTGACTATGTGTTCTTAAATAAACATAATTTCATTTCACTGAATTCAGTCTTTTGCTCTCCAGTCCTCCTGACCTGGGTGAACAGCTCCAGCGTTCGATGGGCAACACGCATTCAGGATATATTTACAGCAGGAAAACTCTTAGCCCTGGCCCTTATCATTACTGTGGGCTTCATACAGATCTTTAAAGGTACTCTGTGAGACAGCTCTAACACGGGTATGGTACTGTTGATAGATTTGATTTTTCCCACTTGCTGCACTGTTTCCTCCTTACAAACCAGCCCGAAGGAGTGCTGGGTTTAGCCGAGCTGCAAGGCTGTGGAAAGGAAGGCACAACAGAGAAATCAGCTATCTCCCCTTAAACAAGTTCTTTTCAGGCCTGCCTTGTCGGTTTTGATAGAATAAAGGAGGTCAGCTGAGGATGTTTTGAAATAGTTACTGAAATTTATGAGTCTGTTGTATGTTCCTTAAATTGGAAGTGCTCTGGGTGTAAAATGAATAAGCTTGCCCAGGGCACTAGTCCAGTTTCCCACAAAAAGTCACTTATAAGATTAAAAATAAGCAAAAAAATGTCTCACTGATTCACCAACTTAATGGAAAACAGAAAACATAGAAGACTCACAATGTTTTTATCCTGTATATGATGAGTCATATAAAGGAAGATGAAATATGACATTTACAGAGAGCAGAAAATGTTTTTTCTCAGTGGTAATAGTCCCACAATCTTGACAAATCTTCCATCCCCCTAGACAATTTATTTTTCAGCATTTGTACTGAACACCGCCAAACTCTTGTGAAAGAAAACTGCATAAAGCACACGTAGGAATTTACCCCGACAAGGAGCCATCTCTCAGACAGTGCAGGCTGGCAAAAGGTCCCCTGAGAGCAGAGGTGACACGAGTGCTGCAGCACAGACGGCAGGGAGCTGCCGGTGCCTACAGCCCGAGCTGCCCCCCCAGGACACCGCCCCTCAGAAAGCACTGCAAGTGCAATGCCAGCCCATGGGGACAGGAAGAGCTTGAAGTCCCAAATCCAGTAAGGAATAAGAAATAAAAAGTTTACCTATTTTCTGGTGTCTCTGGTAGGTAGGGGTGGCTTAACCTCTTGCTTGCACTCTCTGTGCAGGAAACTACGAAGAGCTGACACCAAGCAAGGCATTCAATTTTTGGATGACTCCATCCGTGGGGCATTTAGCATTAGCTTTTCTTCAAGGGTCATTTGCGTTCAGTGGCTGGAACTTCTTGAACTATGTAACAGAAGAACTGGTTGATCCCCGCAGGCAAGTATCCATTTCCACGTCATCCACATTTTCCTGAAGTGCTGAAACATTGGAGCCGTCTGGTAATATTATCCATTTAATAAGCTGCAGCAATGTCCTTCCAGGTCTATGGGACTGGTCTTTCTAAAGGAGAGGTTTTTTGTTTAGAACAGATAGCAGGCAAGTTAAAGAAACACTGAAATTAAAAATATATTGCACAAGGACATTAACAAGGCTGGCAAACCAGCCTATAGACAAAGCAGCATCTTTTATGGCACTATTCAATCATACAGTGCTTCTATAGCAGCAAATTAACCACTGCTGAAATACCACACAATATCTATAGGGAGAACCACTTCTGTTAGAAAAATGTTGAATTATGCTGGAAGTCACATTGCTTTTTCACCCAAAGGGGATCTCCCACAGACACCTGAAAGAGAATTTTAGAAAGTTGTTGCACGGTAAAGGCAGCTCTCCCTGCCCCACTGTGGCTGCAAGCACCTGTCTGCTGGGGCACCTGACATCAGGTCGCTGCTGGTCCTGGCTATGGGAAGGGGCTTGGAAATTATTTATCACAAGCAGGCTGGAAAAGCTGGAGGGAAAGTGAATTTTACTTTAGTAAAGCAAAGCTCAAATGTTTCAACATTTCTGAGTTGATGAAGTGGAATGACAAATGCCAAGAGCAGCTCTCAGAGCAATAGTTATTTCTGGGCATCCAGTGCACACAGCAATTAAACAAGGAGAAATTTAAGCTATTACACAGCCTAGATGGGAATGAATTAAAGCTGCGGCCTTACAAGCGGCTCTGCACACACATTCACACTAGTCAGCGGCAAAGTGCATGTCCAGTGATCTTGGCAGGAATAAAGTGTGGTAATGTGTTCCCTCAATACAACATCAACATTTTAATGGACTGACACAATTTCAAAGCTGAATAATGCAAAGTTATAACTTAAATAAGGCAAATATGGCCTTAGTTGAGAAAAATGAGTGAATGGCTTTTTTTCCTATTATTTTTACAGCCTCTGAGGGGAAACTAAACTATAAAAAAATACTTGGCTAACAAAAACCACTTCGCATTTTTACTGAATCTGTTCAAAATCACAAAGGTTAAATAAGTTTTTTAAAAACTTTTTCCGAATCTGACACACAAAGAAAAATGCGTTATTGTGTTGTATACAAAATGGTTCAGGTGTCCACCTCTAAGGAGGTCTCTGGATCAGGGGTCAAGTACATCTGTACTACTGTAAGTTGCCACAGTGTTGTATGACCAGACAACCAGACCAGGTTGATGGGATGGGATGGGCCAAGGCAATCACCTGGACAACAGGATCCCGTTCCTTCAGAGCAGATGAAAGTAAAGCAAAACAAGCATTTTATTCCACCACCGGGCTTTTGAGACATGACTATTTCGTTTTTCATCCACACACTGCCTCAGTCCCAAACAACAGCCCAAAGGGAGCACGTGGTACTTTTGCCCCGGGGAGCGCCCCTGCAGACGTGGCATTCCATAGCACCCTTAGCCTTCTCCAGCCGGCAGCGGGTCAAAGAGCTGATGGAAGCGCAGCTCCCCTCCACAGAAACCCAGCTGGGAGACCTCCCCCAGGCTGTACACGGTTGTTGTGGTCTTGCTGTGCATGACTGTAATTTCTTATCTACCCTCCTAATTCTTTTATTAGGAACCTACCTCGTGCCATATTCATATCCATCCCATTGGTGACATTTGTGTATACGTTCACCAACATTGCATATTTCACTGCCATGTCACCCCAAGAGCTCTTGTCCTCCAACGCTGTGGCGGTAGTAAGTAAACCATTCCCTGGATGTCTAAAATACACTTTGATTTCGGTTCTGTGCTTTGCAGTTTATTTCAGTTTCTCTGCCTTCTGTTGCTTTAGACATTTGGTGAAAAGTTACTGGGCTATTTTTCCTGGGTTATGCCAGTCTCAGTGGCCCTATCTACATTTGGAGGAATAAATGGATACCTTTTTACCTCATCAAGGTTAGATGGAGTACAATTTTATGAACGTTATCTAATTTGGGGAGGGGCTGTTTTAACTTCATTTGCTAAAGAAATGCTAGCTAGACATTTTGGATGTTGTAGAGCATGAGGCTGTCGTTGGGCATGTTGGCTACATTCAATTATGAATTACTCTGCTTTGAATCAGCAAACATAATATGAATCGTGGAATCTCTTGCAAAATAATCCTCACGAGCTACTGAAAGTGTTCTGCAGATGTGGAATAACTCACAGTAAGAGCCAAACAGCTTCAGCATGGAACCAAAGTCATTTTACATCAGTAAAGTTCCAGTAGCTATGAGCTAAACTGTGCTTTGCTCAACAAGGAGTTCTACGGCCTGGTGCTGTTCTCAGTTACAGACATTTTCATTCTCATGCTGGAAAAACTCCTTTCAGGCAAGATGCTTTGCATGCACACTGCTGATAGTGAGGAGAGAATCTGTGAAGTCTATTATATTGTAGTCTATAAAGTCTATTTATATTAATTGACCTCTCTGAACTTAATTAAAAAGTTATAAATTTTTTTTTAGGAAATGACTCAAATCTTAAGTACCTTGGGAAATTTATTTATCTCAGCATTTTCATGAGTATAATGAGATGCAACAAATCTGAGTGCATATGTAATAGGTTATGCACTTAAAAGTGAAATCTTAAGGCATGTTAAACCTTATCCAAAATCCTTTTGACACTGAAATTATCTGTGAGGGTTTTTATGCCTTGACTGTGTATGGCTGATCTCCACACAACCTTCCAGTATTCATCCCACCCTGGGCCAGGAGGCAATGCTGGCCAGCAAACAGGGACTGGACAGATTTTGGTCCTTCTCAGAGGCAATTCAGCAACTCTGAGCAGGCCATTTCACAGATGACATTAGCCATTAGCACTGTGTACTGAAGGGTCTTGTTTGAATAACATGCCAGGTTATGCAGGCAGTCTGTAGTCGTCTCCCCAGTCACAGGCCAGCAGCCACAGGGCACAGCTCCCTTCCACAGCAAGACCAACGCGGGCAGTTGAGATTAGAGACATGAAATTGATACTGAATGGTTAGATATTGAAGAGGCTGCTGTACACTAAGTGGATTTAGCATTACTATTCTTATTTCCAGGTTATGTTTCTCCGGTGCCCGAGAAGGCCACTTGCCAAGTTTGCTTGCCATGATCCACGTCAAGTACTGCACACCCATCCCTGCCCTGCTCGTCTGCGTAAGTTTGACTGACCCCGCTCTGTCACCCTGTAATCTGCTTTTAGAAATACTGAATCATGGAGAGGGTAGCTGGGAAAATCTTTGAGAGGCCATTTCACCCCAGAGGAGGACAAGCGAGTCAGACAGGAGTGCTACTGGAGGGTGCTGGCTGAGCATCTCTGACAGACCCAGAGAGGAGCAGCCTTCAGCCTCAGGAATAATCCCTCCTACTCCCAACCACCCTTGACACCTGGAGGGTTTCCCTCATATGTAACAGGAGCTGCAATTTAAGCCGATTACCACTTGTTCTACTCACAGTAGAGATAGAAACTGGCTTTTGAACCAGAGATGCTTCATTTAAGAAAAGATGAGCTCTTTTTACCAATTTTGCCTACTATCCACAAGCACATGGAAGTCCCCATGATCACTGCTAATCCCACTCAGGCAGGGTTGGTTTAGATCCTGCCACCAAAGCCAGAGACATGGTAGGTCCCACGGAGAGGACAAAGTGCTTCTGAAGTTACTTACTCTCAACAAGCAAGATGTTTTGTGAGGGATGATTGGGCAGTGCTCTGAGGACCAGTATTACTTTTTTGTGGGCCAAAAAATTAAGTAGGAACAATGATTACAGCAGCCCTGAATAACACATCTGTTGAATGGAATGTCGAGCAGACAAGAGGTCACCTGCAAAGATCAGAAACCAACGGGCCAAGTGTTGGGAGGGTTTGGGGCTGGTCATGTTTCTGGTGTGCTCCTGCAAGAATAAGATGTCTCTCACTTCTTACATAACATAAATTTCCACAATACTAATGACTTACAGAAGTTACTATTTGAAGGAAAGAACTTCATACACTTTTATCAACAGTGAAGCTAGAATATGTAATGGGTTTTACTATAGCATAGAAGACATTAAAGAGGAAAAGGAATCCTAATGCTGCATGACCCAAGCAAGGGAATTCCCTAAAGGGCATTTGCTTGAAATCCCAGCTGCATCAACTGCTGTCAACTGCAGATTTGCCACTGATATTAAAACAGTGAGGGTTTGATTGGAGATGCACTAGGAAGGTGCACATTTATGTGTCTCCTGGCTCTAACAGCAATTCTGGCACAATACACCCAGACCAAATTTCACCAAATAAGCCTTCTGCACATTCCATTTTTATGACAGAATATATGTCTAGCTGAGGCTTTATGGCATTCCCAGGGCTTAGTACCCCATCACAAATATCTCATGTTGTCCATGCAGGGTTTTGGTGTAAACTGCCCACAGCCTGCCTTCCCCAGTCAGCCAGAGAGCACTGGCCCCACCATGGGCTCCCACTAGGCAGCTGCGCTCTGCTGGTGCCCATGAAGCAGAACTCCTTTGTCTGTAAAAATACATCAGCTGAAATAACATGCTGAGTTTCAGAGGTTGTTTTGCTGTGAAACAGCCCCAACACAAGCGGGCTGCCTGAGCCAAGCTGTCCGACCTGCCCATCAGGCGGATGCCAGCCCCCTGCTCTGCTCAAACCATTCCCTTGAATCACTGCAAATCACAGAACCAACACTGCATATCAGTTCATAATTTGAAGGTGTTTTCATGCAGCTTGGAGTATATCAAATGCTGCTAGGAAATAGTAATTTCTTAACAAATAGAAATATAAAAATAATACAGTGTAGGCAGGTACAATAGCAAACTGGGTCAGACTTCAGGCAAACCTAATTAGT